GGGGAGGTGCGTGAGGCATTACATAGAATGAAAGGGGGTAAAGCAGCTGGAACTGACGGGATCATGACAGAAATGTTAAAAACGGGGGGATGTAGTGTTGGAGTGGTTGGTATTTTTGTTTAATAAATGTGTGAAAGAGGGTAAGGTACCTAGGGATTGGCATAGAGCATGTATATTCCCTTTATATAAAGGGAAAGGGACAAAAGGGATTGTAAAAATTATAGAGGAATAAGTTTACTGAGTATACCAGGAAACGTGTACCGTAGGGTTATACAGTGGACCCCCGCATAGCGAACGCCTTGCATAGCGAACATTCCGCATAGCGAACGCTTTGATCGCTAAAATTTTGCCCCGCATAGTAGACAAAAACCCGCTCAGCGAACTTTGTCCGAGACGCGTCCAATGTGGGCCCTCAGCCAGCCTCACATGTGCCGCCCGTCCCATTGTTTACCAGCTAGCCTCCGCGGTAACATTCAAGCATACACTCGGAATATTTCGTATTATTACAGTGTTTTCGGTTCTGTTTGTTGAAAATAAGTGACCATGGGCCCCAAGAAAGCTTCTAGTGCCAACCCTGTGGTAAAAAGGGTGAGAATTAGTATGGAAATTAAGAAAGATTTTGAAGGGTTTGGGGCTAACCCTGAGAAGCCTATGCCAGTTGTGGAATCCATTGTGCCTACTTCAAAAATTAAGGAAATGTGTGCACAGTGGGTTGAACTGTAAACCTTTATGGATGAAAATCACCCTGACACAGCTGTTGCAAGGCGTGCTGGTGACTATTTCAATGACAATGTTATGGCCCATTTTAGACAAATCGTAAAGGAACGGGAGGTACAGAGCTCTATGGACAGAAAGAAGTCCAGTGACTCTGAAGCTGGTCCTAGTGGCATTAAAGAAGAAGGAAGTAACCCCGGAAAAGGACTTGCCTCCTCAAGTGTTAATGGAAGGGGATTCCCCTTCTAAACACTAACACTCTCTCCCCTCCTCCCATCCCATCAATCATCACCAGATCTTCAATAAAAGTAAGTGTCATGTAATTGTGCATGCCTTTTTCAGTTTGTGTGTACTAAAATTAACATTTTTTTGTGGTAAAAAAATTTTTTTTTCATACTTTTGGGTGTCTTGCACGGATTAATTTTATTTCCATTATTTCTTATGGGGAAAATTAATTCGCATAGTGAACATTTCGCATAACGACCAGCCCTCTTGCACGGATTAAGTTCGCTATGCGGGGGTCCACTGTAATTGAAAGAATTAGAGGTAAGACAGAATGTAGGATTGCGGATGAGCAAGGAGGTTTCAGAGTGGGTAGGGGATATGTAGATCAAGTGTTTACATTGAAGCATATTTGTGAACAGTGTTTAGATAAAGATAGGGAAGTTTTTATTGCATTTATGGATTTAGAAAAGGCATATGATAGAGTGGATAGGGGAGCAATGTGGCAGATTTTGCAAGTGTATGGAATAGGTTGTAAGTTACTAAATGTTGTAAAGAGTTTTTATGAGGATAGTGAGGCTCAGGTTAGGGTGTGTAGAAGAGAGGGAGACTATTTCCCGGTAAAAGTAGGTCTTAGACAGGGATGTGTAATGTCACCATGGTTGTTTAATATATTTATAGATGGGGTTGTAAAAGAAGTAAACTTAGGGTGTTCGGGAGAGGTGTGGGACTAAATGATGGGGAATCAAATGCAAAATGAGAATTGACACAGTTGATTTTTGCTGATGATACTGTGCTTATGGGAGATTCTAAAGAAAAAGTGCAAAGGTTAGTGGAAGAGTTTGGGAGTGTGTGTAAAGGTAGGAAGTTGAAAGTGAACATAGACAAGAGTAAGGTGATGAGGGTATCAAATGATTTAGATAAAGAAAAATTGGATATCAAATTGGTGAGGAGGAGTTTGGAAGAAGTGAATGTTTTCAGATATTTGGGAGTTGATGTGTCGGCAGATGGATTTATGAAGGATGAGATTAATCGTAGAATTGATGAGGGAAAAATGGTGAGTGGTGTATTGAGGTATATATGTGGAGACAAAAAACATTCTCTATGGAGGCAAAGAAGGGAATGTATGAAAGTATAGTAGTACCAACACTTATATGGGTGTGAAGCTTGGGTTGTGAGTGCAGCAGCGAGGAGGCAGTGGAGATGTCCTGTCTAAGGGCAATGTGTGGTGTAAATATTATGCAGAAAATTCGGAGTGTGGAAATTAGGAGAAGGTGTGGAGTTAATAAAAGTATTAGTCAGAGGGCTGAAGAGGGGTTGTTGAGGTGGTTTGGTCTTTGGGAAAGGGGTCAAAGTAGAATGACATGGAGGCATTTAAATTGTAGGGAAGGGAAAGGGGGGGTAGGGGTGTCCCCGAAAAGGGTTGGGGGAAA